TTTTAATAAAGTAAATCCAAGAAAAAAGGCCAGTATATACACTCACATTTATGTAGTATCATTCAGGCATTTACACCACATAGTCTGGGTGTATTCACATGTATCCGGGTGTACCAAGATGGCTGCCGCCGTAATGACATCACCGCGTATCGACGGACACAGCTGATCACATGATGTGGTAAAAGGCTAATCACAGCGGCCTTTTACCACGTGATCAGCCGTGTCCAATGACACAGCAGAAAAACAGTAAATGCAGTTGCCGGTTATCGGCTGCACTTTCCTCACTCTGTCACAGCGTGAGGAAAGTACTGCCAATAACCGGCAATTGTTAGCGATGGATCAGTGCCTATCACTGTTGCATATCAGTGCCAGCTCATCAGTGCTGCCTGTCCATGCCACCTCATCAGTGCCACCTATCAGTGCAGCATCAACGCACATCAGTGAAGGAGAAAAATTACCTGTTTGCAAAATTTTATAAAGGCAAATTTGTCTTTATTACATTTTCAGCAAATTAACAAAACAAGGCATGAGAAATAATGAAAACAAGTACAAGTAGATAAACATAAAAAAAACACATCACAGATGTGACGATGATCCATGTGGGTAAGTGAAAATGAGTCCATACAACCGAAAGATCAATAAAACAGTAACACATATTACGGAGATATGAATAAACCGAGTGTTAGGGGGGCATCCCCAGCAAGATGTAAGGAACAAAATGAGATAGCTCCGCATGATCAAGAAAAAAAAAAAAAAAAAAAAGAGGAGAAAATATAAGGAGAAGAGAAAAAAGAGAAGTCCGTTGTAGAGATAGAGAAAGATGATACGAGAGGGGTTGGGAGACGGGAACGGGAAAAAGCAGAACCAAGGCTGTCCTCTACCAGTATCCCACCAGGGTGATCCCTCCAACCGCACCTGGCGTGAGCTGCAGAGCCACACGGCTGACCTTCCAAAAAGAAAATGAATTGAGGGAGCAAAGCTCAACTTCATCAGGGCATGACAGGGGAACACATATGACGCAGAGTCGAAGAGGAGGAGAAATGGAGCCAAACCGACCACAGTAACTTATGTTTATCATAGGTATCGTTGGCAAATGCCAGCATTTCCTCCATACACATGATATCATTAAGCACAGAAACCCACATCAGAAGAGGTGGGGGGTTGGCCGTTTTCCATAAGAAAAAAGCGCAACAGACTTTTCTTTTGTATTGCCAGTGAGTAATATAGAGAGTAGAACAATCTCTGGCAAAGCAAAATTTTATAATGTAAACAAAGAAAAACTTTATTTTTTGTTCTTTTTTTGTTAATAGCGCAAAAAAAAAAAACACCCAGCGGCGAGTAAATGCCACCAAAATAAAGCTCTATTTGTGTGAAAAAAGAGAGAAATTTCATATGGGTACAGTGTTACATGACCGTGCAACAGCACTGAAAGCTGAAAATGGCCTGGGCACAAAGGGGGTATAAGTGCCCAGCAGGCAAGTGGTTAATGTCTGTATGCAGTTTAATGAATCTGCCTTTTTAATTTTTTTTTTTTAACAGTGTTACACCTTTGGCTTTAAGAAAGGTAGTTAGTAGTGACATTTTAGAAGAGGTTTACTTCAGTAGGTAGGCCATTGGTACCTGGAGCCTTTTCATTTGGAACACAACTTGAATGGCATCTCTGTCAACTTGATTTAGGAGCGGAGTGAAGTGAAGGTAAGTTTCAAAAATCAGTGGGGGAGTAGTGAACTTTAGATATTTATTGGAAAATGGTGGTAGGCTCTATTGCAGATTCCACATCCAGAGGAACACAAATCTGCCTGATTTATTCACCTAGACATGTCTACAGTAGCCTGTAGCTATGTGATCAATTGGAATACTTGCTTTTGTAGCATAGGAAGAGTAGTAAGCATGATGGTGTGGTTTTTTTTTTTTTTTTTTTTTTTTAAAGCTCCAAAGATTAGTGTCAGGAATACAGAAATGGCAATAGACTACGTTCTTGCCACTCACAGTGGAGATCATAGAAAATGTTTCTTCCACAAAAGGAACAATAAAGTATGTATAATCATTATCTGTGATTAGTCAGGCAACTCTCTGAAAACAGTGTACTCTGCATATACGGTAACTGGAATCCTATGTTAACAGCTTTAAACAGGCAGAGTAATTGTAGCAGCTTATGTACCCTGCTTCTAGTGGATGCTTTTGAAATATTTGCCATTAACTTAACATCAAAGAGTATGAAAATGTGAATGTCCCTTAAATTACTTTTAAAGTGTTACAAAACTCAGGACCCTGCATTCAATGTATCTGGTCTCCCACAGTACACACTATATGGAAATGCATTTATTTTAGTAAATATAAACTGCTAAATACCTTTTCTCATCTGCAGTTAGAGCAGGCTTGTGATTTCTATCAGTGTTCAGAAGAGCACTGGTTAAAGGTTGTAGGAGGAGTTTTTTTTTTCTTTCTGCTGTAGGAGATTGCAGAATCCCTCACCTCTGTCTGGACAGTGCTGATTGGCCCTGTGCTGATCACATGCACTCTCCCAAGAAAAAAAAAGTTCCCTAACAATACACACTAAATTGAGCACGTGCAGAGCGTCTCCATACATATGTCTTATCAGGAGATAAGACAGGGGGGGGGCACTGGAAGAAGGGGTGGATCAGAGAAGTCAGGATCAACCAGCAATTTTACACAATGCAAAGGATTAACCCCATAGCTTCCAGAGTGAGTATAATAAGCATGCTTTACTTCATATACTGTACAGGCTGAGTTTACTGTTGTGGGTTTAGTAATACATTAAGGTAAATACTGCAAAAATTAAAACGTGTGTTTACTTTAACTATATTTTCTCCTTAAAATAAAGATGAATAGGAAGGAAAAATTTACAGATGTATACATGAAATGTAATTATCAAAATCTGATCAGAAGACAAATATGTAAATGTTAAGTTTTACTTTCAGGTAAGTATAAGCATAAAAAGCTCAGAATGTGTACTAACTGAAAATGAGATCATGTTTCAAATAATCCCATTTTTGTTTTTTAAACTATACAAAAAAATGCCCAAACTGTGCATTGACATTTGGTTGTTTACAACATCTTTGAACTGTTTATTGAGGTGGTTATTTCCTGTGAAACGTTCAAGAAAAGAGAGATGTTTTTTTTTGTTTTTTTTTTTTGTTTTTTTCTCAGGCACGCTTCAAAAAATTTTACAGAAATGATCTGGTTGTTGCCACTTCATTTCAGCATGTTCTAGCTCAACAGGTCTGAATTAGGCAGGCGATTTAGCTTTCATATAAGTGGTCTTATCAGTCAAGTAGGGGTGGGGCCATGCATAAAATCTTTGGAATGTTATGTATTAGACTGGTAAAAGAATACTGTTTGATTGTTTCAACAACTCTTTGCTTTAATGCAATATGTTATTTTTCTTCAAAAATGACATTCACTTTTTGTTTCCTTTTAGGTTCCTGAGATGGAGGAGATGACAATATGGGAGCAGTATACTGTTACGCTCAACCGTGTAAGTAGTTTACAGGATGAGTTTTGGTTTGGACTAACTTGCTGTGTTAGGGGCATTGCACACGTTTAATTTGTTTTTTTTTTTTTTTTTATATAGGTCTTATATATTTATATTCCCTATGTTCTTTGTTTGCCTTACTGTGCAATGATAGGCTCATACATTGTAGTTTGTACTGTCATGGCTGATTGATCCCCCCCTATGTCCATGTATTCACCTAGCTTGTCCCTATTATATAAAGGAACAGGCAACTTCTTTTTCTGGATCAAATCCATGCCTCACCATTTCCTCTGCGTAGCATTACAAATGTGGTAGTACTAATGTGATGAAATACTATATGGTGATATGTCTGTCAATTGCTGTGCCAGCTTGGTCTGTGTCAGATCTAATTTATTGTAAGCTTTCACCTGAAGAACGTGATGTTGAGAGACCTAAGGATTGTGGGATATATAGTTTCTTCACAGATTGGTGGTGTACTCCAAGGTTCAGTGTTTGAGCTCTTACTTTTTAACCACTTGCCCCCAGAGGATTTACCCCCCCCCCTTCCTGACCAGGTGATTTTTTTGCATTACTGTGCTGCGTTACTTTAACCGTTTCAATACCGTGCAATTTTACACCTTCCTGCCCAGGCCATTTTTCAGGTTTCAGCGCTCTCACACTTTGAATGACAATTGCGCAGTCATACAACATTGTACCCAAACTAAAATTTTATCATTTTCTTCACACAACTAGAGCTTTCTTTTGGTGGTATTTAATCACCGCTGGGGTTTTTATTTTTTGCTAAATTAACAAAAAAAGACCAAAAATTTTGAAAAAAAAAAACACATTTTTCTTTGTTTCTGTTATAAAAGTTTACAAATAAATAATTGTTCTTCATAAATTTAGGCCGAGATGTATTCTGCTACATGTCTTTGGTGAAAATAACCCAAATTAGGATGTATTATTTAGTTTGTAGGAAAGTTATAGAGTTCACAAACTATGGTATAGATCTGAATATTGATCAATCCTGAAGTACTGACAGCCAATCTAATTTCTTGAGGTCCAAGAATGTCAGAATAGTACAGATATCCCCAAATGACCCCTTTTTGCTGAGTAGACAGTCGGACGTACTTCATAAGAGGCATGGCGAGTTTTTTGAAGTTGTATTTTTTTGTCATAATTTTTTTCCGAAAATGAAAAAATGAAAAATATTATTTTCACTATTTTTTTTTTTACTGTACTGTCACCAGTGCAGTACAGCGATTTCATCATATAACTGGCATGGCGGTGAACAGGGACACTGACTGGTGACAGTATGAAAAAAAAAAAAATTATATTTTTTTTTAATTTTTTTTTATTTTTTTTATTATATTTAATTTTTTATTACATTCACTTTTTTTTTATTTTTTTTAAGATTTTTTTTCATATTTTACTATGACCAAAATAGTACAATGTTACCATAGTAACATTGTACTACTTTGGGGAAGTGATCAGTATTTTTTTTTTTTTTTTTTTTTTTTTTTACACAATTTGCTTATAGCAAAGAATTACTTTGCTATAAGCAAGCATTTAGCTGAATGAAATCGATTCATTCAGCTTTTTTTTTTTTTTTTTTTTTGTGCTTAGCTGTGATTTGGTCACAGCTAATCACATGACATGTGCATGTGATTAGCTGTGACCATTCACAGCTAGGCACTAGTATACAATGGATGGCATCATGAATGAAGCCATCCATTGTATACAACTGTCATGTGACCTGCTGTGATTGGTCGCTGTCGGCAGGTCACATGGTACCGGCAACGGGAGCCGGTACTCGGATCTGTCATCGGCCGTGTCCGAGGCTTGCACGGGCGGTGACAGATCCCGCTGCTGCGCCGCTCTGCAATAGCGCAAACGGCGCATGTGCGGGAGCACGCCAAATGGCGTGGACCCGGAAAGCTGCAGCGCTTTTCAAGCCGCCAAACGGCTATTGGCCGGGCGGCTAATGGTTAACTGACAATTGCGTGTTCATGCAACGCTGCACCCCAAATGAAATTTTACGTCCTTTTTTCCCCACAAATAGAGCTTTCTTTCGGTGGTATTTGATCACCTGTGCGTGTGTTTTTGTTTTGTGTTTTTTTTTCTTTTTTTGCGCTATAAACAAAAAGAGACAATTTTGAGAACTATATTTTTGACTTTTTGCTATTAAAAGTCCAATAAAATAATTAATATATAATTTCATCATAAATTTAGGGCAAAATGTATTCTGCTACCTGTCTTTGCTAAAAAAAAAAAAAAAATCCCAATACATGTAAATTGTTTTTTACGTGACAGTTATAGGGTTTACAAATGGCGGTATATATACTCCCCAAGAATAGTGCTGCGCTGCCCCCTAGCGACCCAAGAAAATATACTAATAATAAACACTCTCCTGTGCATTATACCCAATGTGTAATAGAATAAATCTGTGAAACAAGGTCAATAGTAAATAGAAAAACAAAAACTGGCCACTAAATCCAAATATGTAAACATATATCAAAAATAAACCAAAATCAAGTAGCAATAAACACCTGGCCAGCCTATAATAAACACCCTGCTGAGATGGAGAATAAAGTGTAAAAAACAACAAAAACAGTGAAATATGTGAAACGCATATTAGAAATAAAACAGATCACAATGGCACTAAACACCTGGCTGAGCTGTAACAAACACCCGGCCGACCTAAAGCATAAAGTGTGAAAATCAACAAAAACAGTATAAAATTATGTAAAATAAATGCCTGGCTGAACAATCAGCCACCCAGTGGAATGAATATGTGATTAATCAAGAAAATGTTTAACTCGGCTGGATAGTCACAAAAAGTGCGCGTTAAAAAAGGCAGCTCCACTGAATATACAAAAAACAGATGATTATTATTATTATACAGTATTTATAAAGCGCCAATAGTTCGCTCAGCGCTGTACATTACAGAGGGGGACAGAACATGTGACAGAACAATACCAATACAATGCAAAACATGAGGGGATTGAGGGCCCTGCTCTTTCGAGCTTACAATCTAAGAGGGAGGGGATGGTGGTACAGGAGGAGATAGCTGTGGGGGATGGAGTGGTAGGAAGAGTGGAGGAGGTCGGCAAGTTAGCAGGGGGTGGGGTAGGCTTCCCTGAAGAGATGGGTTTTCAGGGTGCGCCTAAAGGAGAGGAGAGTAGGTGATAATCTGATGGGTTGGGGCAGGGAGTTCCAGAGGATGGGTGACACCCTGGAGAAGTCCTGGAGGTGGGCATGGGAGGAGGAGACCAGGGAACTAGAGAGAAGGAGGTCTTGTGAGCAGCGGAGTGTGCGTGCTGGGCGGTACTTGGATATTAGGTCAGTGATGTAGTTCGGGGCAGTATGGTGGACGGCTTTGTACGTCAGTGTTAGGATTTTGAATTTGATTCGTTGCGCAATCGGAAGCCAGTGGAGGGATTGGCAGAGGGGGGTGACGGAAACCCCCTCAGTCTCTGCCCGAATCACACACCCACTTTGCATCTGTAATTATTAAAAAAGTAATCTGTGTATGTTCAAGCTACCCCATAATACACTCAATATCATTACAAGTCACATTTATCTTTGCATATATAAATTAACATCCCATACTTGTGTACAAACAATTTATGAAATACTGTCTTTTTTATAACACACCCTTGCTCAAATTGCTTGTAGTTTTTTTTTTTTTTTTCTTAACTTACGCCTTTCTGTCTTCTTACATTGCTAACCGCTCTTTTGATAACTTGGCCAGGTTATTTTTGTTTATAGAAGCAGTCCCTCATAGAATCCAGCTCTTTCAAAAATATCATCTCTGCTGCATATCCTATTCAGTCTGAGAAACTGACCTACCTGGATCCCCCTCACTGTATGCCCAGGGTGTACTGAATCTGCTCTAAACAAACCAATGCCTGATAGGGGTTTTCTGTATAAATTGGTCACAATTTGTTCATCACTAAGGTTCATTGTTACATCCAGAAAATTCATGGAGCTCACATCCATCTGTCCCATAAATCTTAGGTTAAGACTGTTGTTGTTCAAATAATTAGTTATCCATCAATCCCAGATCACAAGTACCGATGAAGATGAGATTGTCAATGAAGTACCAGTAGAATTTTATATGTGCATGAAAGGTGTTAACTGCAGGACCGTATCTCTATCCTTGTAATTACGAAGTTTCGCAATGAAGGTGCAAGGTGGTGCTTTTTTGGGGAGGGGGCTTTGCTGCCATGTGGTAAGCTTGTTCAGCAACAGATGAGGCAAAAGCTTCTCTTACAAAGATGGTAGTAAGGAGGTTTTCCAAGAAGGCAGGTGGATATGAACCCTCTGCTCCCTCTGGCAATCCGATGAATCCTTTTGCCGCAGGCAATCTATTTTTCAAATTGTCTTGTTTATGCAGTACTTGGTGCACCTGTTGCTGCAGCTGGTTGGAGATATCTTGTAGGGGGGTGGGGAGGGCATCCTCCACGCTGCCAAGTCTGTTCAAATTCCTTAACTTGGTTCTGGATTTTCTGAAGGTCTTGAAGGATGAGGGTGATGTTGATTTTCACCTAGTCTATTTTGGCTGTGAATGCAGAGTGGCAGCACCTTTGCTGTGTCCAGCGCTGTCTGTTCCTCCATCTTCCTTTAGCTCCTCCTTGTCCTGCCACCAAAATTTGTCAAGTTTAGAGCTGGCTTTAGAGACCTTGCGAGACAGCGATATAGGTGACGGTAGAGCAGGGTCACCAGGGGGCACACCAAGGTGCGAAGCAAGATCGTTGGGATTGCAGGATCAGGGATGATTAGCGAACAGAGCTCTCTTCACAGAGGCTTCCTCCATGCTGCACCAGGACAAGCCCCACTTTATATGCTTTTAATATTGATGATAATGCATGCTAAAAGAACTGAATCACCCATGATTTATTTGAAAGGACTTTATGGTTTGCACGTGTGTTAAGCACTATATTGCCACAGACAGACGTTTTGATGTTGTGCACAGTATCAGAGTTTTTTTGCTTCATATTTGCACTTCATTATAAAGGACTTTGTATGTAAATTCATTGGGATTATTTTCATGTTTGCCCTTATTCTCTATAGTGATTTATTTCATGTAGTTTGCCGTGTACTGCATGCTTTTATATTTAAAGTGCTGTCAATTTTCTCTATAAATATTCTGTGAAATGTGTGACACAGTAGTGCCTTCTCAAAGGGCACAGTAAATGTCACATAATTCAAGGAAGTAAATGTGTGATATTTTGCACAATGTAAGTTTACAGACTTCAAGATCATTTAGACCTGGGGTCTCCAAACTTTATAAACAAAGGGCCAGTTTACCATCCTTCAGACTTTAGGGGGACCAGACTGTGCCCAATGGGAGTGAACAATGTCCCATCTTTTGTTCCCCATTGTTGGTGTCAGTTGGAGGAATAGTGCCTCCTCATTGGTGTCAGTAGAAGGAAAAGTGCCAGATTGTGGGTGTCAATTGGAATGATAGTGCCCTATGGTTGATGTCAGCGGCAGGAATTATGCCCCATCGTTGATGTCAGAGGGAGGCATTATTTTCAATGGATTTTCATTCGTAAAACGAAAATTGTTAACCGAGGCATTTGTAAACTGAAGTATTACTGTACAACCATAGGGATGTATTAATCTGTGTGTTTTTAAATTTGCCCAGAGTTTAACTTTAACAATTCTGTACATTGAGGGCTAGACATCTATCATTCGGATCTCCATCTTCAGTGGTTTGAATACTCTGCACACCAAAGCCACTACATGTTGAACTTTTATTCCCCTAAATGTCTTTTCCAAATCACAAGCCTTCCTAGGAGCATCATGCCTTCTTTCTCATTTCATATTCAATCCAGAGATCATAAAGTAGGTTCAGACGAGCATAGATAATGTTTTGGTGGTTGTAAAGGCTGAAGGTAAAAACCTTCAGTGTGCAACTCCCCCCTCCCCTCCAATACTTACCCAAGCCCCATCTTGATCCAGCGATATGCACGGGAGCCCCGACTCTCTAGGGTCTCTCCCTCCTCTTTGGCTGAGAGACAGGTCTGGAGGAAATGAGTGTAGTATTGCTGAACAAAAACGGCACTGTGACTTTACAGGAAAAAAAAATCTAGAGCAGTAAACACACACACGCAACTGTCCCAACCTAATGAGTGAAAATGTTAGTAATAAAGTTTTTTGTTTTTACCATTAATATATTTATATCTACCTGTAAAAAAAACTATATTCAGTATACCCTAAACATGTTTGAAAGTTCTTACACATTCTGGTTATAATCACTCAGCAGCACTTTCCTGAGTTCACACTCTGAACATATCACTTTATCACTCTCATTGTGACTATATGTCCCCTTTGCCATGCCCTGACCTGAAAACCTAGGGCTTGGCAATGGACCCATGGAGGAGCTCTGCTATGGGGAAAGATTAGAGGAACTGAATTCTCTCTTGAGAAGAGGAGATTATGGGGAGGGGGGATATGATCAAAATGTACAATTACATAAGTGGTCCATATAGTGAACTTTGGGTAGAGTTTTTCACCTTAAGGTCATCATAGAGGACAAGGGGCAACCTTTGAGATTTAATCTCAATATGGAAAGGTTTTTTTGCAGTAAAAACTGTGAAAATGTTGAATAGACTTCCTCAAGAGCCGGTTCTGGTCAGCTCAGTAGATTGCTTTAAAAAAGGCCTGGATTCTTTCCTA